AAATCTCCCCACAAAAAATTATGAATATAGGTCCATATTTTCGGATAGCCTCATATAAGGGTAGCACCAATTTTCGGTATTTTTATACCCTTCACCACACTGTGGTACAGGGTATTACGTCTTTGTACATATGTCTGTAACCGGCAAAAGGAAACGAGATAGACCCATGGTTCTTTTTCAGAATATGCATAGAATCACTTTTTAAGTCGATTTATGAATGTCCGTCTGTCCGTCCGTCCATGTATTTTTGTTAAAAAAGTACAGGTCGCATTTGTGGTCCAATTTGGATGAAATTTGGCACAATTCACTTATTTGGCCCAAGGACGGACCCTATTGAAATTGGGAAAAATCGGTTCAGATTTAGATATATCTCCCATATATATTTTCGTCCGATTTTATATAAATGTACCAAAGTCCCTATATATCCTTCGATTTGCACGAAATTTGGCATAGCATTCTGAATTAAGCCTAGTACGACGTATGTCTAATTTCCTGAAGATCGGTTCAGATTTAGATATAGCTCCCATATATATTTTCGGCCGATTTTGGGTAAATAGTGCACGAAATTTGGAACAGCGTACTGAATTTATTCTAGAACGATGTGTCTTAAATTTCTTCAAAATCGGTTCAAATTTAAATATACCTCCCATATATATTTTCGTCCGATTTTATGTAAATGGTGCACCAAATTCCCTATATATCCTTCGATGTCCACGAAATTTGGATTTATATATAAATGAAGAGTTAAAAATGTGGCCGAATGCAAAAAACATACGCAAATAACTGTAACCTTGCATGTGACAAGTTCCGATGAAATCGGTTTAGATTTCGATATTTTGCTTTAAATTTATTTACATAATTTTGTCCCAGTTTATACATGGTGGAGGGTATCCAAAGTTCGGCCCGGCCGAACTTAACGCCTTTTCACTTGTTTTCTTTGTGTTAGAATATACATAAGTAATTTCTTAATTTGTTGTAAAATTGATTGAACAAATTCAACTCATTTCATTCTAACTAGTCACACATTTTTACGTTTATGGGTTCATTGCCTGAGCCATTCGTAACACTAGTGCTATAGAAACAAAAACAAGTTTTTAAGTCGTTTGTAATATTAAATGTTTGAAAAAATAATAATAATAATAATGAAATATAAATTCTGACTCAAAGAAAAACACTGAATTATAATAGGTAAAGACGTAGTGGTCATTCAAAACAACTAAAATCGATTTGGGCCCTTTGTCAAAACACTGACCATCAAAATAACTAAAATTAGGCCCTCATATTGGAAAGCTATATCAATAATCTGCACTTATATTAAATATATTAATAAGTAAATAATACATGGAGCTGTATTGAAAATGTCTATTTTCATCATAGAGGATTTACGAAGTCATCCATAACTACCTTGTCCCCAAAAAAGTAATCCCCCCAAGATAAACTAAATTTTTGGTATAATCAACACTTCCTTTTTCGATTTTTCTTTTATCTCCTCAATTGTAGAAAACCCCATTCCTTTTGTCGGTGTCTTCAATTTTGATAAGAGGAATCCATATTTGATTTGAAATGTTCCGTCTTCTCGGCCTTCCTTACCAAAATTGAACTTGCGTTGTACTAATAGTGGATTTGCCGAACGTTAAGTCTGTATTTTTCCGCATTTGATTTCATTATACACTCGAAATGTTGATTCTTTGGACCAACTCCGTTTCAGACCAGTACGACTTGTCCGTCAGTCTGGCTGGCTGGTGCGCACGATACCTTTCGAAGTAAGTAACTGATTTCACCCAAACTTTGCAAATTTTAACATTTCTTCCAAACTTAGTTCGGTCCACTTCTTCCAATATCCCTTCCCACAAAGGGTCAACATTTTGAACACTTGTAAATCGCATATAGAGCGGACGGAATATCCAATTTTATCCAAACTTTGCACATGGTAATGTATTTGCCTTACATAGATCAAGCTTGAAGATGGGACTTTTTATACCTTCGCTTCGATATTATGAAATGTTCTTAATCCAATATCAAGACAATGGATTAACAACTAATTTGATACAAACTTTGTAAACCGTAATACTTTTACACTCCACACCTACACAGCAATTAATAGCGTATATGTTATTAATTTTTTATACCCTTCACCACACTGTGGTACCAGGTTTCTGAGTCGATTTATACATGTCAGTCTGTCCGTCTGTCCGTCCGTCTGTCCATGTTAAATTGTAAACAAAGTACAGGTCGCAGTTCATCTATTGGCCCAAGCTCATCTGTTTGGCCCAAGGACGAACCCTATTGAAATTAGGAAAAATCGATTCAGATTTAGATATAGCTCCCATATATTTTCGTCCGATTTAAGGTAAATGGTCAACCAAAGTACCTATATATCTTTCGATTTGCACCAAATTTGGCATATCGTACTAAATTAAGTCTTGAGAGATGTGTGTAAAATTTCTTGAAAATCGGTTCAGATTTAGATATAGCTCCCATATATAGTTTCGTCCGATTTTCAGCAAATGGTGCCCCAATGTCCCTATATATCATTCGATTTGCACGAAATTTGACTCAGCGAACTGAATTATGTCAAGAACGATGTGTTCTAAGTTTCAAGAAAATCGGTCCAAATTTAGATATATCCCATATATTATCGTCCGATTTTATGTAAATGGTGCACCAATGTCCCTATATATCATTTGATGTGCACGAAATTTGGCATAGCGTACTGAATTGAGTCTACAATGATGTGTGCAAAGTTTTGTGAAAATCGGTCCAGATTCAGATATAGCTCCCATATATATTATCGTCCGATTTTATGTAAATGGTGCACCAATGTCCCTATATATCATTCGATGTGCACGAAATTTGGCATAGCGTACTGAATGGAGTCTACAATGATGTGTGCAAAGTTTCGTGAAAATCGTCCGATTTTATGTAAATGATGCACCAATGTCCATATATATCCTTCGATTTGCAATTGTGAGGATTCATATGTACAACATACCCAAAGTGGTGAAGGGTATCATATAGTCGGCCCAGTCCGACTTTACTACTTTCCTTACAGGTTTTCGGATTTTATTATAATTACAACATGGACATGGTTAAATAGTCTTAGAATTTCAGACATTGTAGAATCTTAAGTTTCTATTTTGAGCACATAATGAATAAAATTTAAATCACCCAAACTAAGACAACAACCAAAAAAACAATGAGTTATACGGAGGATACCCTTAATATTGGGGCGTACCGTTATAAAAACGTACACAAATTCCCCAAAATTTTTTGGGTAACGTTATATGGTAAACGGCGAGAAGAACAAGCTGATGGTATCAACGCGCAAGACGTCCAGTAGACTCGGACCAACTGTGGAACTTGAGAACTACAGCTTCGAGGTAGTCAAAGATTTTATATACCTTGGTACATCCATAAATAAAACCAATGATATCCATTTTGAAATTCGGAGAAGAATAGTGTTGGCCAACATATGCTTCTATGGTCTTAGTAAGCAATTTAGAAACAAGGCCACTTCTCACCAGACCAAACTCACTCTCTAAAATAAAGCTGATACTACCAGTGCTGGTATGGATCTAAAGCATGGGTACTTGCGAAACCAGATGAAACAGATCTTGCAGTGTTTGAAAGAAAAATTCTCCGAAAGATCTATGGGCCGATCTTCATGAATATCGCCTTGTAATGAACCATGATTTGTACCATCTTTTCTCGGACATCTACATAGCCAGACGACTACGTTGGCTAGGCCATGTAGTGAAAATGGATAAAGATGCCCCAGCTCAAAAGGCATATAAAGGCGAGCCAACTGATTTGGTATCCATATAAAATTTCAGCATAATATAAAATTTCAGCAAATTCTAACGTAGCGCATATGACCAGCCTGTAGACTAAAAACAACTCTATGTAAGCTCTCAATATCAATTTCTTCGAAAGATAGTGTGATTACAATAGACGGACGGAAAAGTTTAAATCGTTTTAGATTATAACCCTGATCAAATACATATGTATAGCGTTGGAAATGGATAATATGGCTTTCATACTATCGTAGACCCTATAATAAATGTGACCCACTGGAGCGATATGAACATTTGAACAATAAACATATTGTAAAAAAAACTAATCATTTCGTAGGAGGCCCGGCCCCCTTAGGTATGTCCCTGGTTGAGGTTATAAAATTTAAATATTACCCAAGAAGACATGCCCAAAAAATCAACTAAAATAAGTACAATAACATATATCTAATTTTGATTTTTATCTAAAAATATTTTTATTACTGCATATAATAAATCTAGGGCAATTTGGGCTATTCACCGAAAAGTATTCTATGTCTCATGTAAACATAGACTCTTCATTATGAACAATTAATACTATTTTTAGAAAATATTTTATCTGCGAGATATCAATTTAGTGAGCCAAACTTGTTTCGACGTGTGCGCGTTTTATGTCTTTGTGTATGTGTTTGTAAACTTTTATGGTAAATCTGCCTAGATAATCACACAGAAGTCAAGTATGCAAATTTAACTTATCCAAGTCTATCTCTGATATCTCCCATTTAAATCCCTGAAAAATTATGGTATGCCACCAGTTTTTTATCTATGAGATTTATGATACATTGCCCGCCAGTGATGGTTTATCTCACCAGCCTAATTATTATATCTGAAGTAAATTGGTTAAAAACTAATATTTCTCTTTATTTATACAATTTTTTTTTTAATTTTATTACATTTTTTCTCTTATTCTAAAACGAATACATAGTCAATGCTTATTCAGCATAGAGGTTTAATTTATGATATTGTACTAACATTTAACTTTTCTTAAATATTTGCACATGTTTCCATGGTAATTAAGTTTTTGTGTTTTTTACTTTTTTCTTTACTGAATTATAATAGGAGGTATATAAAAGTGTATGAGATTTTTTTTTACAATAATAACAATTTTTGTGTTTTTTTTTTACAATAATACTTAACAAATATGTACGTTCCTATCGGAGAAACGGCATTTCAAGAACATTGAACTTCGTTCATTTTCGTTGGAGTGCTTTCACATTTTTCCTCAATCTCACGTCGGAATACACATTTATAGATGGGCGCTGCAATAAAAGCTCCAATCAGAGGACCCATCCAATAGACCCAATGATTACGAAAATCATTGTGCCATAAAGCGGGTGCCAATGAACGGGCTGGATTCATACTGGCTCCGGTAAGGGGACCCTAAAAAAACAAAACAATGAAAAAGAATCACATTTATTAATAAAGAAAATTTTAAGTTTTTAAATAAAATTATATTGTTATATAAAAAAAAGATTTTTTAGGGTATATTAATTTTGTCATTCCGTTTGTAACTCATCGAAATATTCATTTCCGATCCTATAAAGTATATATATTCTTGATCAGGGTAAAATTCTAAGGCGATCTAGTCCGTCCGTCTGTCCGTCCGTCTGTTGTAATCACGCGATCTTCTGAAGAAATTGAGATAGGGTTTGTCTTTTGTCTGCAGTCAGGTCAAGTTCGAAGATGGGATATATCGGTCCACGTTTAGGCATAGCTCCCATATAACAGTACCCCCTAATTTTCGGTATTTTGGGGTTCTTGAGCGCGTTTTTCAGCCGAATTCCCTGAAATTTGGTACATTGGGTTCTTATTGGGTACTAAATGTCTCCACAAAAAATTATAAATATAGGTAAATTTTTTCTGGTAGACCCCATATAACGGTACCTCCTAATTTTCTGTATTTTGAGGGGTTTGATCGTATTTTCCCACCGAATTGGCTGTACTGTAGTATTTTGAGTTCTTAATAGGTACCAAAGCTCTCCACAAAAAATTATGAATATAGGTGCATTTTTTCGGATAGCCCCCATATAAGGGTACCCCCAATTTTCTATATTTTGGGGTTGTTGAGCGCATTTTTCAACCTAGTTCGCTGTAATTTGGTATTTTGTAGTCGTATATGGTAACAAATCTCCCTACCAAAAATGTTTAATATTCGCCCCCATTTTGGGGTCGTCCCCATATAATCTCCATTTTTATATTAACATAGTTATATGATTTTTTCGTGTTTGGGTTTGGTTCTAAGACTCTGTTGTAATCATTTCATATGCGGAAGATACGATAAAAAAGGTTCGATAATTAACCTTATATATATATATATATAGATTCATATATATGAACTGTAAGCCGTATTTAGCCCTAGCCCCTGTGTGGGAGGTACTAGAAGGAGTGGACCGATAATCCCCATGTTCGAACTTGAACTAATTTTGGAATAAATATTAAGATGGGATGAAATCAAAAATTTTTGAAATAAATTTGGTCCAAAGAAACATGGGTATAGGTTTGTAGAAATGTCGGTATAGATACACTTTTTGGTATGTTCCCTATATTTTTATTTCAAGTACCTGTCAGTATATCTATGGTGGAGGTTATCCAAAGTTCGGCCCGGCCGAACTTACCACTTTTTCACTTGTTTTAGATTACATTTTGGAAAGAACCAATGTACAACGTCTATACAGGGTTGGGCATTGACTTTAAATCGGATGAAATGATACATAGCTTAAAAAAATACGTGAAAAATCTGAAACTTCACACACGTCAATCTATACTTTTATCGTTATATACAAACTTTCGGACAGACATTCACAAATTTCTATTATATAATAAATGCGATCTGCTTCAAAATACTTAAAATCGAAGGGGATCAAATATGAACCTACATTGTCTTCGTTTTGAACGTGTGCTTCGTGATGTAACCTAAAAAGAGGGCCAATAATCCCCAATTTGAAAATATTCGAATTCAGATTTCCTTGGTGTCTTCGGCAATATTTTTGTGTCAACCATTAATCGACTCGCTGAATGGGGTATTTTCGGTCCCCTTCTCCAAAATTGATTAAAAACTCATTTAAGCTTGGTTTTAACAGGTCAGAATATTTTACAATAATTTTCGCCATAAAGTTTCAGTATAAGTCTCCAAATAGACCAAAACTCAAAAATTAGAAGATTATCTTAAAATATTAGAGTATCATTATAATGAGGGATATATTAAAATGTCGACCTATATTGAAAACATTCTGTGAAGAAGAACTCGGAATATTAAAATACAGCCGCTCCGACAAGAAAATTTGTCTATGAACCTCAAAATACGTAAAATGTGGAAAAAAACATTTATTTGGACCATTATTGCAATTTAACTTTTACAACTAGGCACTTAAAACGCCTTGAACTGGTTTTTTAAAATTAATAGAGTTTTTCAGGTTTTCATAATGCTCCATTATGAAATATCAATACACTCCAGTTAAAATATTACGTTTACGATAAATTCTCACTCATATGTGGATAATATTTCCGAATGCATACTAATGGGATCGCTACAAATATCAATACTTTGGAAATTATTTATCCTAAAAGTATGCTAGATATTTAGATTATAAACACATGCACTTATCAGTCTCCAAATACATTCTAACAAATCAATATGAACACATTTTCAGTAATTAATTTATTCATTGATATGACGATATCATTTCACTCCTAACTACTTACCGCTGTTATCGACAAACATGCAACTGCCAATCCGAAACGTATCGCCACAGAATCTTGTTGACATTTATTACGCGGATCCCAGACACCACAGCAAACAATGATTAACGTTGCTGTTATACACACTTCAATACCTAAAGCTTGCCACACATCGATATCATGATGTATTGATGTCATACACAGTCCCGTATCACTACCCGGTACAAAGACTTGATTTTCTGGCAAAAGTACGGTGAGCAGACCATAACCACAATAGGCACCAACAATTTGTGCAACAATGTAGGCTGCAACCATCGGCAACGAAATTAATTCATAAATATATGCAGCAACACTAACGGCAGGATTCAGATGAGCTCCCGAACAACAGCCGAAACATTGTATAATTATTAGGACAACAAAACCAAAGTTCAGTGACCTTGTAACATTTGTACTGGGAAACAATTCCGAGTTCATGCAGCCCATACAGCCGAACAACATTAGCATACCCGTTCCGATAAATTCCGAAACAATTGAACATAAATTATCGAGCAGATGTTTACGCTCCTTGGGACTGAAAAAAATAATTAAATGAACAAATTATATATTTAGTTTTGAGTTTTAATGGGAATAATAAGCTGTAATAAGTGGTGAGGGATATTCAATACCTTACTCCATGTTATTTATTCTTAATCAAAATTCAATTTTGATATAGATATATCTGACTTTTTGTTTGTCTGATAGAATCCGCAATATTAAATGAAGAGCATACAACAATACCTCCTAAATGCCTCTGTTTTTTTTTTGTAGTTTTTCCACTTTTTTCAATATAATCATATTGAATTATCTTAGGGCAAAACTTTCTACCATCTTTCTAGCCACACGCAAAGTTTCAGACCCTTTTTATACCCTGCATCATAGGGTGTAACGAATAACATTTCGTTTGTAACACCTTTAAACATTCACCGGAGACCCATGAAGTACTTATATTCTTTATCAGAATAAAATTCTATATAAATTTATCCATGTGCGTCTGTCTGATGAAATCACGATAGAGCTCACAATTTTTAAGGGGACCCCCATTATCGGTTTCAAAAAAAAAAAAAAAAAAATGAATTTTGTATTTTGATTTAATTCTAATCTACACTAATTCAAGAATGTCCCTATGACAATTCTAGTGGAAATCTCAAAAACTCATGAAGATATAGCCGATTTATTGTGCTGGCATAAAGTGACGGCAAGAGGGCTACTTTAAAGTATTTTTCTCCAAACAGCGTTTTAGCGAATGACGGTCACGGTAACTCAAAAACTAATAATCTGATCGATTCCATATTTTGGGACGTTTCTGTGAGTATATAGCTATCGTATGAACTACGATAAATCCAATCGGTCAAGATCTTCCTTAGTTTTTAACTTGGTTTGTGGTAAAAAATAGCCGATTTTCCAAAAATATGTTTCCAAAGGTCCGATATTTTGTTGATTTGTGAGCGAAGTCAATAATCCTAGTTTATACGAGAGCCGGACATGCACTCTTTCTAGCACCGTTGGAAAATTCGGATCCCGATGTTCCACCATCAAAAACATTTTGTAAATTATTCTTCTTTTCCTTTAAATCTTGCAATATATATCTGCAAAGTTACAAACCTTAACAAGCTTTGATATTGATTTACCAGCCCATTGAAAATCTTGAATATTTAAAATCAAGAATGGGGGGTTCTCTTAAGTTAGAGCTTTGAAAATTTACATATAATTGCTATTGATGTTGAAAATGGGATTTATCGGCCCACGTTATGGTATTACCCCCATATAAAGGCAACCCCTAATATACATTGACTGCAATTTGGTATTAGTTTGGATTTAGTTCAACATTGACCCATTTTTGCGAACGCGGGACTATGGGAACATTTTCCAACCCAATTGATTCTAATGTGGTATTTTAGGTTATCACCTTACGATAGCCCCATTATAACGCTACAACCCAAATTTCGGTATTTTAGGGAGTATGGGCACGTTTTTCTTGCGAATTGGTTCTAATTCGGTATTTTGGGTTCTCATTGAGTAACACATCTTCATACTAAAAATTATCAATATTGATCCACATTTTATCAAAGTCTACACCTATGGGCACATTTTTTAATAGCATTGTCGTAATTTGGTATTTTAAATTCTCATTGCGTAGCAAATCTTCCTACTACAAATCATCAATATTGGTCCACTTTTTACAATATAACGATACAGGCTTTTGTTCGGTATTTTGGGGACTATGGACCCGTTTTTTACCCGAATTGATAGCAATTTAATTTCCATTGAGTGTCAAATATTCCTATCAAAAATTTATTTATTCTAAACTTATAAGGGTAGGCTTTCTGAGCCAGCGTTAATGCGTTCTCTTAACATTTTTGATGTAAAAACAAAAATAAACCTTAATGAAAAATTATCCGCAATTGTTTGCAATTAATTTGCTTTTTACGCTTCCTGAGATATATATTTAATATTAAATGAATTAAATTCCGCAGAAAAATTCTTGTTTTTATTTTCCCTTACAAATTTTTTAAGAGAATTTTTGCCCACCATCGTTCAATATATACGAATATCGATATTATGGCTTTACATAAAATCGAAGGAAAGTATATCTGGAAGCTATATCTAAATCTAAACCGATTTTTACGAAGCTTAGCAGACGTCATTCTAGACTCAATTCAGTACGCTATGCCGAATTTTCGAGCAAATCGAGAGATATAAAATGACTTTTGTACACCATATATATATATGGGAGCTATATTTTAATCTGAACCGATTTTCACGCTATGCCACATTTCGTGCAAATCGAAAGATATATAGGGACTTTGGTGCACCATTTACATAAAATCGGACGAAACTATATATGGGAGCTTTATTTAAATCTTAACCGATTTTCCCCAATTTCAATAGGGTTAGTCCTTGGACCAAACAAATGAGCTGTACCAAATGGCATCCAAACCGTATCATAAATGCGACCTGTACTTTGTTTACTATTTAACACCAACAGACGGACGGACATTCATAAATCGACTCAGAAAGTGATTCTATGCATATTCTCAAAAGGAACCAGGTGTCTATTTCGTTTCCTTTTGCATGTTGCAAACATATGCACAACGACATAGAGTAACTTCGGTGTGGACCACCATTTTCTTTTTTTGATATTGTAAAAAAATAAAAACAAATTGTTTTCACAACATAATATATCTGTTGGCTAAATGTATTCCAGGTCAAATATTATTTATATTTGTCCATAAAAATGTTATTGCATTATATTTCAAAAAACTCTAAACTGCAAATAAAAATAACTTGGCGGGTAATGTGGACCAGTATGTGTGGGTAATGAGGATCAGTAAGTTAAAGGTAGGTTGTGAATTGGTTGTGATAAATTTCCAATTATTGCACTCTTAGGTAACAATGAATGCAAAAATATATGGGTTAATGTTTTGGAATAGCCCCCATTTAAGGGTACCGCCCCATTTGCGGTATTTTGAAGGTCCTTGCTTCATTATCTAACCGAGGCACCGGTAATTTCGCATATTGAATTTTCAGAGGATAGAATACCACCTCGCATATCAAATGCGCCCATGTTTCCAACTCGTCCTCATGAAAAGGTCCCACTTTTTTATAGTGGTCCACATTACCCGACATTGAATATTTTTATTTAAAAATAATTTTCGGCTTCAAAAATGATTAAAAATCAAAAATCACCGATTGCTAAACGTATATTTTTGTTAAAGAAAACAAGAAAACCACATAACTTCTTTATATTCGAGAAAAACGAAATATTCTAATGTTTTGCAAATATGTTCGACTATTGTACTAAAAAATTTTCAAATCAAACTTTTACAATCAGAGCTAAATTTTCACCTACTAAATTTTCAACATTGCAATTATTTATTAAAAACCAAGTTTGATGTTTGTTTTCACTAATTAGGAAAACATTTATCAAGGCGGCATTGACATATTTCAAGCATTTTCTTAGATATGGGGGGTGGTCCACATTAGACGCCTAGTCCACATTACCCGAAGTTACTCTAATACCCTGTACCACAGTGTGGCGAAAGGTATAAAAAGGAAGGAAGAACAAGGACTCGAGATAGAAGAAGGATATGTTTAGCAAAAATATTCCTCATAACTCGAAAACTTGACCAATAGTGAATTTGCCTATCAGTGTTCTCAACATACTCGCCAAGGGCTTTCTTTCCCACAAGGATGGTTTTCCAAATTTCTTATGGTACAATGTTATTTTTTGATGAGAATGGGTTCAGACTTATATATAGCTCCCATACATAATGTCGTCCGATGTAAATGGTCCATCAACGGCCAGTTTAAGAAGAAATTTGCAAGGACTTCCGAATAAAGTCGGTTCACATTTCGATATAGCTCCCATATATAATGTCGTTGGAACTCATCACATATTTTTGTATCAACTGATTTTTTGTAAAATATTTTTCATTGAATTTTTTATAATTAATTATTAACTGTTCAATTAAAATTTATCTCATTTAAGATTTTTATTTCATTTGCAAAAATATTGCATGTTTGTTTCGATATTGCATGCGAAATTTATTGAACAGAATATCCGTTTCATTTCGTTTTTATTTTATTTTTTTTTAATTAGCTCCAATTTGATCTCCACTATTCTCACCTTTGAGCATAAATTGAAAACTTCATGACTGTGGGTAGTTTTTTATTTCAATTATCCTTTAAATTTTAATTTAAAATTATTTTTTATTTTTTGCACTTAGTATCACACACACGAAATGTTCAACATTGAATGAATTATTATAGCGCGCGGCAGATGTGTTTTAATCCCGAAAATGATAAAAACGAAACGAATATCTTTGGATTGAAAAGTATTTGCGTTTAGTTTTCCGTTTGTCACCGAACGACGTTTAAACGCTAGCGGCGACCAATGGTATCTAGAATTTGTTTTAGCGACAAAGCGAGAACGAGCAAACGAACATTGTTGATATAATTGGCTATAGATAGCTTTAAAGTTTATTAAGTTATTATTATTATTTTTTTTAATATGTCATTTAGTTTTATTTCACTCCCTCCTTTGCATAATAAAATTATTGAAATGGAATTAAACAAATCATTTTACGATTGTCTTTGAATTATGTCTGCACATAATTTTCCATTCAAAGTATTAGTTTTCTTATCAATTGTTTTGACAACAGCAACCACACTTTCCGCTAGGTGCCATCGGACGGACGAGGAATAATGAAAATGCTTTACACTATTCGGAATTTTCGTTTAGGTGAAAAATTTTCCGCGCCATACGTAAATGCGAAAACATTGCAGGTTTAATATCAACTAAAATTTGTTTGTCACATATTTGGTTATTTTTCGATATTGTGTTGACAAAAACAAAACAAAAAATCAAATCAAATACAATTGTTTTTTGTTTTTGTGTTTATTTTTGTGGTTCGATGGTTTACGTACTTGAGCAGAGTCATAAACCCAACATAGTCGTTGCTGCTATGTTGTTGCGTCATTTTACCCACTCACCGATTGGCGCCCGATTAGGGTATCACTCTTAAGTGAGTAAGGCACAATATTTTGAGGGTTCAAAGTATATTGGGTTTACAGCAATTGCAGCAAGTGCATCATATTTTTAGAAGGTAGGTGTATTTATTTTATTATTTAAATTGTAACTCTTCTTTTGGGATATGTAATTCTGTTTGTAACTCTTCGAAATTATAATTGTAGCCTCTTCTAAGGAATTTTTGGTGAGAGTAAATATTTAATAAAATATATATCCGTTGCAATTGCACTATTGTACATCCGAAGAATGCAAAGCAAAAATTCAGCACGGAAACGTCTTTTGTTTTCATGCAGATCCAGTTCGAATTTTCCGGTGAGATTTGCAATTGACTTTTTATATAGCCTTGCGGGTAAATAAAGTTTCCGAAAAAGTATGTATATGATTTTCGATTTTTGGTATCCGAAATGACTGTAACTAAGCACTTTTGCTTCCTTGAGGGTAAGAAACAGTTTAGTAAAAAATTTCCATTTAGTTTAACTTTTTGGTATGGACCCCCAAAATTTTACATTTGTCAAATTGTGAACATGAGGGTAAGGATACCAAAAGTTGGCTCCCCCTCCAGATATAAGTCCACTTCACCCTCCACCACAGTATGGAGGGTATATTAATTTTGTCATTCCGTTTGTAACTCATCGAAATATTCATTTCCGACCCTATAAAGTATATATATTCTTGATCAGGGTAAAATTCTAAGTCGATCTAGCCACGTCTGTAAGTCCGTCTGTTGTAATCACTGAAATTTTGCATAGGGTTGTGTTTTGTCTGCAGGCAGGTCAATTTCGAAGATAATATATCGGTCCACGTTTACCTCCCATATAAGGGTACCCCCCAATTTTTGGTATTTTGGGGTTCTTGAGCACGTTTTTAACCGAATTCGCTGAAATTTGCTACATTGTGTTCTTATTGGGTACTAAATGTTTCCACAAAAAATTATAAATATAGGTCCACTTTTTCTGGTAGCCCCCATATAACGATGCCTCCTAATTTTCAGTATTTTGCGGATTAGGATCTCTCCACAAAAAAATTATGAATATACGTTTTTTTTTTGTTTTATACCCTTCACCACTCTGTGGTACAGGGTATTATGTCTTTGTGCATATGTTTGTAACAGGCAAAAGGAAACGAGATAGACACATGGTTCCTTTTGAGAATATGCATAGAATCACTTTCTCAGTCGATTTATGCATGCCCGTCCGTCTGTCCGTCTGTAGATGTTAAATTGTAAACAAAGTACAGGTCGCATTTATAATCCGATTTGGATGAAATTTGGCACAAGTCACTTATTTGGCCCAGGGACGAACCCTATTCAAATTGGGAAAAATCGGTTCAGATTTAGATATAGCTCCCATATATATTTTCGTCCGATTTAAGGTAAATGGGGCACCAAAATCCCTCTATATCTTTAGGTTTGCATGAAATTTGGCACAGAGTACTGAATTAGGTCCAGAATGATGTGTGGTAAGTTTCGAGAAAATCGGTTCAGATTTAAATATAGCTCCCATATATAGTTTCGGCCGATTTAATGTAAATGGGGCACCAAAGTGCCTCCATATCTTTTGATTTGCATGAAATTTGGCACAGAGTGCTGAATTAGGCCCAGAACGATGTGTGCCAAGTTTCGAGAATATCCGTTCAGATTTAGATATAGATCCTATATACATTTTCGTCCGATTTAATGTAAGTAGTGTAAAAAAGTCCCTTAATATCTTTCGGTTTGCACAAAATTTGGCACAGCGTAACGAATTAGATCTAGAATGATGTGTGTTAAGTTTCCTGAAATCGGTTCAGATTTAGATATAGCTTCTATATCTAACCAAATGAAAAATTTAGTATCGGTTACAGAATGAAATGTTTATGGATCCAGTTTCATTTTACTGGTCTTTTAAAAATGCGACGTTTGTTAGGATTCATCTGTTGAATATACCCAAGGTGGTGAAGGGTATCATATAGTCGGCCCCGTCCGACTTTACTACTTTCCTTACTGGTTTATATTGAAATAGTTATCTGATTTGTTCCGCGTTTTGAGTTTGGTTTTAAGACTCTGTTGTAATCATTTCACCTGCGGAGAATATCGAGATAAAAAACTAGAACGTAAGGTTCGATAATGAACTATAGCCTATAATGAACTAGCCCCTGTGTGAAGGTTCCAAATGGAATGGACCGATATTTCCCATCTTTGGATTTTTAACTAAGTTTGGAAGAAATAATAAGATGGGCAAAGTTTGGATGAAATCTAAATTTTCTGAAACGGATTTGTTCCAAAGAAACATGGGATATCATTATTCATTAAAAATTTCTGAAATTTGTATTATGGTTTACATAATCCGTTTTTAAAAGTGTCGGTATAGGTCCATTTTTTTGGTATGCTCCCTATATGTTCATTTCTAGTACCTGTCAGTATGTATATGTTGGAGGGTATCCAAAGTTCGGCCCGGCCGAACTTAACCCTTTTTCACTTGTTTTATCATTTGAATTGTGATACTTCGGATATGAACTTCTATTTGTAACTATTCGAAATGATTATATGAAAACATGGACCTATATTAAACTGAAAATATAAAATGAGCCTATATTGAAAAAAATCTACAAAACAATTTATTAACCTTCAAGATCACAGAGCTACTTAAAATGTGAGCAGTACCGCTACACATAATTTGGGGACTCTACCAAAACGTGGATCGATTGATATACCAAATTACAAACACTTTGATTACTAAAATTATCTCAAGATTTGTTAATATATATAGACTTATAAAGAACATTTTGCGGGAGCTATTCTCCTCATTGAGGACATGGACTTATATGGAACATGTTTTACTAATGGATCTGCTATCCATTGGCAAGTGCACATATTAGGTACTTAAGTTTTAAAATCCGGCCAGGGAATTAAATATACCAAGAACATGCTGGACCCTTGGATTTACCCCAATTATGCTTCTCCTTCTCCAAATAATTCCACGGGTTAAGATAAATTTAGCTTGTTGTCGGCTGATTAACCTTACAGGTGGTATCTGCGGTTAATTTTAGCACTCTGTACATATATTTATTCAATTGGGGACCCAAATACAAACATTCGAACCCATTTCAAAGAAATGTTTTTTCTTGGCAGCTGCTGCTTTTTTCGTCATTTATTTATTATTGTGTACACTTTTTGTATTTATTTTTTCTGTTGTTTATTTTTAATGAAATTGGCATACATTCGTACGATTTGGGAATTTTAATTTAAAATAACACAGTGTTTAAAAAATCGTTGCATATACCTTCGACTATGTATGTGTACAGAGCTTTTTTTGTTTGATCGTAAAATGTAGGGGCTTAAGTTTAAAATTGAAACGTGTTTTTAGGACACAAAAATACTCTTTTTTAGCTGAATGGTTTGTTTTTAAATTGCTTTAGTTTTCGGAATGCAAAAACGTGTTTATTTTTGGCATTTCTTTTTGTTTTACACTGTTCAACAAAAATTTCTGAAATCACGCCTTTTTGCTTATCCGAATTGAACTGTATTTAAATGATACATTTTTTATGAAAACAATGTTATAAAATTTATTTTAATTTTTTTATTTATTATTTAAAATGCAAACATGAAGAATTTAGAATTAAAACAAAACTTATAAAATTAAAAAAAAAAACATTTTAAGTCGCAAATTTAAGCGGACTTTGTTTTGTCCGCTTAAATCCTTAATTTCCTCTATATATAAATGAATAATAGATACGCAACGAAATACTTTATATCCATGAAATCGAAGTTATGTACGAAATTATTTGATAACCAGTGAGCAGAGCAGTATAGTCGGACGGGGCCGACCATATGATACCCTACACAACTTCCACGAAAATCTAACTTTCTGTGGTTATATATACTGAGCATGGAAAATATTTCGCTATATTTACACCCTCTTGACCGACTAGAGGTCAACAAATATTACTAATATTCAGTAAATCCCTTCTAATTACTTGTCCAGATTCCCTTCACGGTGGGTTGTGTTATGATGTTCGACTTTCAATTTTGGATTATATATGGACAAGAAAAAACACAAAAAATTAAGTATTCGGTCCACTTCATCCCAATATTATTATCTGATCATCACCGAAAATTATAGGCGTTATCCTTGACCATTCCTGGATCCTCATGGAAATTTTCAAAGCGATCCGCGCTGTATTTCCGCCTCCAGTGTGGTAATGTGTTACTAAATTATATCTGAGTACGTAAGCACCTGTAAATATTTAGGTGTAACTCCCACATCCGAGCACATACAACAATATAATTGGTCTTAATTTAAAGGTCAACCACTCCTCTTGGATATAATATCAACTTCTCGGGTCTATGTCATTCAGGGGTAAATATATACGCTATAGAATACAAATTTTGTCATTTTTCACACAAAAGTCAGGGTCCATTTGACCCGCTAAATATTGACCGATCTTTATCCAAACAGGCATGCTTATTCTTTGGCCCGATCCCCTTCTCCACGCAAAAATTCACGATGTTCGGGCCATTATTGCGGCCTCTAGAGCGACCAGAAAATCAGACAAAAATTTAGTTTTTGGTCCATTTCATCCCCTAAAAATTAACCGATCTTTACCAAAAACAATAGGGGTCTTCGTTGGCCAGAACCCATCCTACATGCAAAATTTCGTGAAGATTGGTCCATAACTGCGGCCTGTATCGTGTTTACAAATTATAATGGACAGACGGACGGACGGACACACATGTCTAGATCGACTTAGCTAGTCGAGATATGACGATCGGTATACTTAAAGGTGAGTCTAGGACCAATATTTCGCGGCGTTACAAACTCTTGGGGCTGCAAAAAGCTATAATACCCTGACAACATAGTTGTGTAGGGTATAAAAATTAAGTTTTCGGTCCACATCATTCCAAAATTATTATCTGATCATCACCGAAAATTATAGGCGTTGTCCTTGACCATAATTGGAAGCTTATGGAAC